GAGAGTAAAATACCTAATTACACACCGATCTAGAATGCAGTAAGTGTTATTTTTTACTACTTTAGTTTCGTTTCCCATCGATCCGAGCCCCTTTAGACAATCCCTTAATTCGTAATATTTAATATCCGATTTTAAGCTGTAAATCTTTTTCTTACGTTTTGCTTAATACGTTTTTATTGTTTGGTTAATTAATTGATGTCATTAATGTCTTATACAATAATTATGGTAATGCTTTAGGAGCTACTTCCATTGTAAGTTTATATTATATATACGTATTTAAATAAGATTCTATTCTATTCTAACCTCAACTAAAAATTCATTTATGGCAAGCATTAGATACTGAAGCATATTTCGTATTTTAGTAAAACAGTTAATTACTTTCCGAAAATGTTGTCTAATGCTGGTTCGTGATATAGATCTGCCTTTCCGACTGCCTCATCATTTAAATAATGGATTTTACTGTTTGCCAATGGATTAGGAAAATCTTGCGAGACAGTATATTACGCAAACTATGCATTTTGGGATGTATTTTTTAGCTACATCTTTTACACGCTTATCGCACTCCCCTGCATGTAATTTATTTAAAAGTTGCGTCCCATAGACGCGGTTAAAATGACAAACGGAGGTGCTATTAGAACGGAAAGTTTTGAAACTTTCGCGCGATGTAGTAAACATGTATGGGCTCTAATGCAACAGTCGTCAGACATCCAGATAATGCGCTCGTCCTGGAAGTTGTGGGCATACGTGCAGGGGAAACAGACATCTGCCACCCTCTCGCCTCTCGTTGATCGAAGCCATCCACGACTGTTCAAACCAACCAAAACAATCGTAATTAATTAAAAAGTGGCACTTTGGGAGTAGGTCACGATAAAATATTATTAGTAACTCTGTTGTCAGTTTTTGTGATGCGAAGCATTATTAAAGCAAAACATGTATAGCTCGACCGAAACTATAGTGTTTTTACAAACGACCCCGTGATTAACTTTGCTACTGTTTATTACTCGAAACCCGCGGCTCCTTGTAGAGTACCCTGCCAAGCAGACCCTTACCTGTAACTATTCCAGGACCGTCCTAAGAATTTATCTACCTACACTAACAAGCGGGATATAAATATGCTTTCAATCTTTTTCGCCGATCAGTTCTTGAAACATGTACATAAAAAAAAATTGGTACAAATAACAATTTATTACGTGCTGTCACTTGTATTTATTGGTGCTCCTACTTCCCCTTCTGAATTTCTTATAAAATTGTAATCATTCAAAACAGTCTGTTTAGCATCCGAAGACAAATGATTTCGTTTTTTTATTTGCTGAGATAGTTTGTCTTCTAAATTGTCATTAGGTTCGACTACCATCTCCACTTCGTCTTCAAATTCTGCGTTGTTTTCCATGTCTTCTTCTAACAGGGAAACATCTGCTTCATTCCACGGTTTCCACATTTTAAAGTGTTAAAAAACAGAAACCTTCAAAAAATGTGTCACTGTAAAATTCTAACAAATATTTATCTGTATTCTTATAACGTATCTTTATCTACCGCGGATATAATCTATAGTCTAAAAAAATTTGTTGTTCACAAACCGAAGAACTATGTAGAAGACACAAAAATAGAAGAAGAATGTTGTTAATCGACAGACACACAAGACAAAAATGATTATTTTCAAACTTACCTGTAAGATAAATAGAGTACTTTCCCTTACCCTTTGAACTATCTAGTGAAAACAGCTTCGCAGTGTCAAAGCTCGAGAATTATATACATAAATACGTACTTACTGGAAGGACCACATTCAAATACATTCGTAATATATACGAACATATTGCAATTTAGATTAAACTCTTAAGAACGATACATATCACCTGATGTTAAAATAAACGCTTCTACTTATTCGAAAATACCCAGCAGCATCAATTCTTAATCAAATTTAAAACGATCCATTTACCTTTCAAATAGAAAGATCAAGTTTCTACAAACATAAAATTAGAATATCCCTCCATTATCGAGTATTCATGTCATCAAGGCATTGATCGTATTGTTCAGAAACTATGTTTAATGATACTAAGCTTTAAACAGGATCCAATTATAGGCGTAAGTAAATCGGGAACTTTTACAGCGGCGTAATTATTCATCCTTAACAACGAAACGTAACCAACGTCTTATTAACTTACATTTTACATGAAAAACTATTATTAGAAAAATGGTTATGGAGTGTTCCTTGAGTAACATCCAGCAATAGAGTAATTTGTTTTGTGTCTGGATTTGAAACTTTTATTCTACAATACTCAGATAAGTCCATCAAGGCACTGAATCACAAACGAACTATTTTTTAAACAAACTTTTAACTCATATGAAAACAATGCCACGATTCCTAGAGGTCTCATTATGTCACAATATATATTGTATCCCTGCATTAATAAATTGGAATACGATAATAGTGTATTCCTTTTGGCCACTCTTTTTACTGCGACTTCGATAATTGAAAGAAAAACAACAACGTGAGGCTCGGCTCCGACACTGTGTTACACACTTCATGTGAAAATAGTTTGATCAGGGAATACACGAGATATGGATTTTAGATTGGGCCTAAGTTGAAATTATACCTTCCCAAAACCAACAACACAAATGGCCACTGCAATCTCGGAAGACAGTATTATTTCTCTCTGTAACAAAAAGTGGCGCATTTTCATACAAGAATTGTCAAAAATTCCGCAACGGTCTAATATTTCAGAAAGTAATGCATGCAATTTTTTAAAAAATTCATACACCGAAGTTTTTAAGTATGCTTGATATATAGACAACAATGCCAAATTTACACGTCCTCCTCCCGGAGATCAGAAATTGCGTCAGTTTCAGTCAAGCTTTGAAGAAGCCAACAGGATGATTGGCGAAACCTCAACAAGTTTGACTCAGCAAAAACCGACGCAGGAGGAATCCAGAAGTTTTGTGAAAAGTATGTATTACTTTCATTTAAAATAGAAAGTTCGGACCTCTGAGATACGACAGCTACGACCTGCATAATTCTCTTAAATCTATCAAAATATTTATAAACGATGTTATAACATGAATTGTACAAATTATAAAGTAATGTAAACCGTGAAAGAAAAATATTAATAAACTGAACATCAGCAGTAATAAGATGTACAATTTCCAGTTTAATTTGAATGAAGAAATTTATTTTGTTTTTGTAAATTATAATTTAATGAAAGTCTGAGGCAGATGCATTTGATTTTAAATTGCTAAGATTCCATAAATTATACTTTCTGATTATTTCCGAAGTTTTAGTAAGTTTTAAACTGAATATAATATTTTTTTAAGCTCTTTTGTAGTAAAACAGGCAACATAAAATGAAATGAGCACTATTTCGCAAACTTATTTGGAGAGCACTTAACAGTTTGGCGCACATCAAGCAGATTCTTATAAAAAATTCATATAAAATTCATATAAAAAATAAACACTAAACTAATATGGTTCCATGAAATAATAATTCAAAAGTATCAACTACATAGTATATCAAAGTTATATTTTTTAAATTTGAAGCTCTATCGATTATTTCATCAAAAGAAAGGTCCTTTTAAGCTGATAATTGCCTTTTTACACTAAAGCCAGAAGTAGCCAATAAAAAAACCTAATTGTCCTTTTAGCTTGCTGAATGTCGCAAAATGGATTCCACTAATTACATGTTCTAATTCTGTGCTTTATGTTTACCAAGAAAATGTTATAGTTCTTGAACGCGGTTTAAATTCAGTCTCATTTATTGATCTGGTCAAAAATTGTGGATCTCAAATAAGTTGCCTTATTTGAGGACCATAAAAAATACCAGCTTTTAGTTTTTCCGTACAATCTCAGGAAATTTACGGACCTTCACAAAATTTTTTTTATAGTTGTTTCATAGGTTCCTGTATTATCAGCACGAAGAGGTTCGCTATATCTTTAGTAGCTTTATGATTGACGTTGCAACGAAACAAAATATTGGAGAGAAAAACTAGGCAGTGATATGATACTGTTTAGGTAGGTTTGTTAATTAACTTTTTAGTTTTGCCAAATAGAATAATATAATATAACACATAATCTTAAAATATAATATTTAATATATAATCTTAAAAATATTTATAAAATCGATTAAATTCCAAACGCGAAGGTGTTATCGATTGGCTTTGGAATCATTTGGAGGACTTATAAATAAATAAAAATAAATTCCATCATTTTCAATTTTACCATTCGACTCAGGAAAATAGGACTCCTTAATTAGCATTTTGTTGTACATCTTGCTCAACAATCCACGGCCAAAATTGGACTAATTAGTGAAACCAGTACTCAAAAAACAAATAAGGTTTTTATTTAGGTACCAAATGAAAAGTTAATATTATTTTTTCAAAATTCATTAAAGTATAATGTGATAATTACTAAGCTGTACTATTGTTTTGTATAATTATACAAATAAAGTAGCGTTTTCTAAAAATACGTAAGCATCTAGTTTTCTAGATTTGTTTTTTTTGTTTTATATGTCATTTATAATTTTTTGCTTAAGCTGTTACAAAAATATGTTATAGGTATGGTCTCCATTTACTTGTAGACTTTCAGAAAGGTCCATTGTTTTCTGTCTCTACCTACATTTAAACATAGATCGATTCCAGGTTAACTATTGTTATTTTTAACTCTTAACTTTTTTAGCCATAAAATTTTCAAAAATTCTTTCTGAGCCAGAAACTTTGCAATAAACTCAATCTGTTGCCCAATTTTTATAACTGGAGTTGATGTGATATGTATGTGTGTTATTTAATATAATACCCTGTCTAGCGTTCGTTCTTTTATTGATATAGATTGTTTGAGAACCACTGACTACCATTATGAAAAGTTTTATAACATAGCGGTCATGATACAGCGGGCGGACTTTACACCTTAACCCATACAACTTTTGTATAAAACTATTTACTCAAAATGTAAAATAAAAAAGTTAGATTAGGTTAACATTTGCAAAGGATCACTAAATACGTTTATCGTTTTACCTTGAGATGCAGTGAACGATAAGCTCGAAATCGTCGCCAGGATGAAAACGACGCGCCGCGATCTTCGTGCGAGACTTCGTCACGGACAACGTCCCCAGAATTCGGTCCGGGACTGGCCTGGGACGGCGAGCATCGCGACGCTTGCAGACTCCGTTTCAAATCGCGACGCATGCCCCCGTCGCGTTGAATGTTTTGCAAAGTTTTATTTGCTACCTGTTTCGATGACGGAGGGAAAGGGACGCTCGTTCTCAAAACGGGGCTAATTGAACCTCGAACACCGAGAGCCGTTATTGCAATTGACCTCGTTTCCTCATTTCTTCACAGTTTTCCATGCGTGCGACATCTACAGGGTGGACCAAATTGGAAACTTTAAAAGGGAACTCCCCTTTGATGAAAACTCATGTTATAAGTGCCGAGCTCTAATTTCATAAAAAAGGTAATGGTGAAAACCGCAAATGAATACCTAATTAACATTTTTTGTTTTATAATGATAACGATTACGTTTCGGTGTCGGATCGGATTGTATGTGAAACCAAATTTTAGTCCCATATAAAACTCTACTCTACTCCCCATTGATTTGTAACTAAGATGTTGAAATTACCTTTATTAACCAGAATTTAGTTTAATGGAGATGAGGAATACTTTTTGGTTACAACTATGAAACTTCCCTGCAGCAATGGATTTTTAGGGTGACTCTATTTGAAGAAATACTTTTTAGAAATATTTCTTGAAATGCGATATGTGGATTAAAAAAACAAGTAATATTAAGTAGATGTCTTATAGCGCTGTGGCTCTTGCAATAAAACCGAAGGTGATTTTGGAATGCTTATATTTTGCTTGAGTTTTATTCAAAATACAGACTTCTACCGCTTTGAACGAGAAGGATTTGGACGGAGCAATCGTAATACCGGAACCAGATGCACACTGATAGTTGTCAAATTACGAATTTCATTGTTGATACATCGGATTTTGATTTTTTAATAATAATTAATTAATTAATATAAATGGGATTTTATTGTTTGTTTTGCAGAACCTGGAAGAATGCAGAGACAGCAAGAAATTTGTACTACAGAACCAACCTCTTAAAGATATTTTCGGAAGATGACAACACAACCTAATTAATAATAGTCAGATTTAGAAGAAGTGCTCAAAAAACTACACAACTCCCAATTATTTACTAGAAATGGTCGTTTTAGGATCTATTACAAATAACACCGACAATACTAGCAACGTTGGATGATCTTTGAAAAAAGTACATGGTGCAAGTCGAACCTTCCAAATCATACTTGTTCACAATTCAAAAGTTTCATTTTTTTCCAAAAAACCTTCAGCAAAGTATCAAGTGTACTATATTTTTGAAAACATGTCACATATAAAAAATAGCTTTTTCGGGCGATAACAAAATATTACAACAAATTTACAGCGATTTCTTAAACATGCTTTTGAAAAACGGTCTATAACTCTAAAATCAAATCAAATCAAATCCTTTTAGTCTCCAGACTACATATAAACAATAGTAATTCTAGTACTGAAGTGGCTTTTACTTGATGAAAATCCATTTAAAATAGTTAACAAACGTTGTTCAGATTTTCACATAAATATATTTAAATGACAGCTGTTTCGGCAACACCGTGCCTTTATCAAATGCGAATACCAAACGGTACGGATATTTATTAATACAAAACAGGTAGTAATTACTTAATGTGAAGTATTACATTGAGATTTAACAAGGGGGATCCATTCAAATCCAGTTGGTCATTAAGTAATACATTCGAACCTCTCATCTTATTAATCTGCATAGCTTATAGTAAATTTAGTTTTCTACTTTTTGAAACAGTGTGTAAAATATCTAAATTGTCGTCAAACTTGTGTTTTTCTAAACTTAAATGTACAGCGTAATTAGAATCTGAACTATTGTTTTTAAATGATCGTCGATGTTGGTTGATACGTTTTTTGAAAGATCTACCTGTTTGTCCAATATAATCTTAGAACATGATCCGCAATTTAATCTATAGACTCCAGAATTCTGGGATTTATTAGATTTAGATTTATTGTTTTTAACAAATTTTCCTAAGGTGTTATTAGTTTTAAAAGCAATTTTGAGGCCACATTTCGAAAGATGATCTGAAACTTTATTACTACGTTCTCCTTGAGATTCAGTAATAGAGCGGGCATATATAGAGTTCAAAGTTTTTTGAAATTGTTTCTTAGTTAAGATTTTATCCATCAGTGACGGGTCATAGCCATTGTTGATAGGGGATAGTTATCAGCCTATGAATAAAAGAATAAAAAGCAGCCATTTTGTGTGTATAGGGCTGGTTTGATCCCTCATGTATTATAGTGTCTGTGTGTGAAGGTTTATGGTATATTGAAAAATCTAATTTGTTTTGTGCTTTAAAGATTATTTTTTTAAAATATGAGTGTCTGGGTCAAGGAGATATTGTAATTTTGTAAATTATGAAATTAAAATATTTTAATATATTGTAATATTGTAATAACATATTGTAACATATATAATAATAATTCATAGTAATAATCATAGAACACATAGAATTTATCTTAATCTCAAAATATTTTTAATTGCAATGTCCTATTCCCCAATAGGCAGTAACTAATTGCATTCAATGTTGTTTACGGAATAACATCGAATCGGATCATACTGTACAAAATGTTTACGCCACGCCACGTCACGCCAGTCTACCTACAAGGAATTCCGTCTGGGTGATATTTTGCCGCAGTTACAAATCCCCTTATGCTTTATCATTGCTTTCTTAAGGTGGCTTCCCACGGCCCGTAATTTTACACGTACCGCGAAAACGGGCAGCGCGTGGATCGGAACGGGCTTCAGTACCCAAGTACCTTTTCAAAACAAATCAGCTGTCTACATATTTTTGTGTTTACTGGTGTTCGGGGTTGGTGATTGCTAACAACTTGTTTTTGGTAATTATCAGTAACGTCGAAACAAGAAAAAACTGTTGCCGCAGCCGCTGTCATACATAATAGTAATGCCAGCAACACTGTCTTTTAATTTATCCCTGAATACGACTCCCCGAATCGTGCTGCTGGTTTCGGTTTTTATGACGGTCACTTTTTGTATTCCATAACGCGGGTTCATTTTCATATAAATTAATAAATGCATAAGTAATTTCGTTCGTCCACTTCATATTAACGCTTAAAAAACACCAAAACAACTTGTTGTAGAGCCGCAAAAACAACGAAGATGTCTGTCTACCCCAATAACAACAGGTCTGCACAGGCATGAACGCGCCGCGCCGGTTCGCGCCTTTGAATTTACCGTCTTCCTACGGCGCGTTGGCGCGGGCCGGCGCGTCCGGGCCTGCAAAAACACGGGCCGTGGGAAGCCACTCTAACCAATTATATATTTTAAAAAACTAAGACAAAAAATATATATGAAGATGTAACTAAATATAAAGTCGTTCAATAAAGACAGAACCTCAATAGCGACAGCTGGAGCCACAGAATAGCATAGCAGCATAGCACATGAGAAAAAAAAAACAAACAAAAAAACAGCATTTATTTTACGGCATAACAGTTTGTTCCGGTAAAAGATATTTTTTTATCTTTCTTGGGAAAAATCTTTTTTTTTTGTAATTTGATATTAGGTATGGCATTACTAACAGCAACATAGACGAAAAACTTGAAAATTTGCAGTTTGGTGCCGCGGTAATCTAAAATATGTGTCTGGTGTGATGATAATGGTCAAAAACAGAAAGGACATCAATTATCTATCTTTCATCCGTTTTAAATAAAAATATGAAATTTTGTAAATTGTAAATCGATACTAATTGGCTTTGTTATCTTTTTTGACCACATACCATCTTACCTGATATATTGCCCTTCATGATTCCTTTATGACAGAGTAAAGGGAAATTAAAAACACTTTAATGAGAAAGTAATAAAACAAACCTACTTTCTGTGCGCCATCAGTATTTGCTGTTAAGCCATAATGTTCACAGTATTAAAAGATTAGTAATAAAACACAAAGCGAAATTCAAAATGCAAGAAACCTTGTTAAGAAGTCCGTCCTTCATTTTTATTTTTCAAAAAATAAGGTAGTGAATTCTAACGGATCCAGTCGTGATATGTGATTAAAACTTAACTGAAGGCGCAGTTATACGGGAATTGTTTTTCCAGTTATAACACTTTAAGTTACGTCAATCCGTAAATCCAGCTTGAATGATTTAACGAACTAATCCCCATCAACTGCGATTTTGACGACGAATTCCCTAATTTCTAAAGCAATCACACTCTCAGCTAAGCTCGACAATCTGAAAATATTCGAAACTCTATTAAAGTCCCATCAAAAATTCAGGCGTCCGCGCTGCCACCGCACGTGTGGGGGGGGAGGCAAATATGAGCCCGCTCCATAAAGAAAATTAAGACCGCAGTCTGGAGTTCCGTATGCAGACCAATTACTAACCCATTTTCTTACATTAACTAAGCGAAAAGAGAAGAAAGTTTAGTGAACAAATAAATGTTTTTGTAACTAATGCAAGAAGTCTACACATGTTTCAAGATGCATGAAGTTTGTAATGTAATATTAAATAAAACATTCCAAGAAATAATATTTTTAAACATGCTTTTTTGCTGATGCGAGCTGGTTTGAAATGTTAATAAACATATTTTTGACAACTTGGCATTTACTTTTTTGATATTATGTTGTGTTGTTTGTAAAGTGCATTTCTCTGTTATGCTTGTAGGATTTTAAATTTAGATTTTGTGATCCTTTAGAGAGCAAGATAAGACATAATAGTAAATGCATCAATTGCCTTAATGATTAAAAGCTGTTAATTGTAATATTTAATAAACGAGTGACTTAAAAAGTTTACCAAATATGTTGCATAATGCGATTTTTCTATAACCGTTAGAGTACATTTTTGCAAAACAATATGAATACATTTACTGACATGACCATCAGAATTGACAAACGTCAAAATTCAAGCCGTGGGAAATATATCCGAAAATCCTGGAAATATAAGAAGTGGCTCGCAGCCATAGGTAACGCAACTTAACGTAATGTAACGTATTTTAGAGAAGGGAGCAGGAAAGCTTTCGAAAACTCGTGGCTGAAAT